CTGGTCAAAGTCTATAATTAACAAATGATTAATTATGCATGACTTTGGCGCCTTCGCTCGTTATCAACACGCCCACATCACTTTCGGTCCTCCCCCAACCACCCAACCACCCACCCACCCACCGCCTCTTTTCCGGCGTTCGTTTCCTGCGGCACCTTTGTAGTTTTCCGCAAACTTTCCGTAGCCTTTGATTCATTAACATTTTGGTAATGTGACTCCGCCGCATTTCTATAAACTCCGACTCACATTAAGTCCCAGTCTCTTTCAGCCAATCTAAGGCCTAATGGTCTGGCCAGGCTTACGATTGCGTCTTGTTTTCCATTTGGCCGTCGGCCTATTTACATAGAACATGAGAGCAGGCAGCAGTCTCAACACAATTTGCATACGATTGCAACAAGTTCTGGCAGGGGAACATGACTAGGGATGGTGGTTTTGAGCTAATCTATATATAAGTAAATCACAACGTTGTGTGTTTAAAAGCCTAAGGTCATTCCCATTATCCTTTTGGAGGACAATATACAAGTGAGCGACCTGCAGACGACTGCAGCTCAGTAAATAGCTACATGCGCTTAAGGAGTATCTAAAGGTAATAAAGTAAATAAATAAATATTTTTCTTTATATATTATTCTGCCCAGACAGGACTTGATCAACGAAAAGCACGAGCCCTCACGAATCCATCCCCATCGAGAGGTGATGGTCCCCCGGGAAGGACATAATCAACCTGCCGCTGGGACATGTGTACATTGCATTCGGATTGGGTTGAGCCGACACTACCATGTCAGGCGGTAACAAGTCGGGCACACAAACATTAAACTATGGAGGTTAATTTGACTAGGGCCGCCGTTTGTGGCCGCCGCTGCCAGATGAATCGCCATGGGCTGACGTGGACACAATGCTGCAGTGCAACAATGCTGCAACAAAGACAAAGGATAAGCCGAAGTATATGTGTTCTTATGTGCGAGTACATGTTTTGAAATCTAAGCAGTCCGGCTGCTTTGTATTCCTATTCTCTGCGCTATATGTGTCGGGCAATAAAATGTCTTCCGCTGCAAGTTGCAGGCTGGCCGGCTTTGGGGGCAACGGTGCGTATGCGCAATTATTAAATGCAGCATGAGGCCATTTGCCAATGCAACACGATGCAACTGAGCATAATTGCCACCCCCGCTCCCCAAATGTTTTGTCCGTCGATGTTGCAGCTATTAACATTTACTTGTGCCGGGTGAAAAATGCGCGGCAAATGAACCTTACAAAGAGCCGGAGTGAAAAACAAGAAAGTCAGTTAACTGCAATAAGTTTATACCCTCTGCTAAGCTGTAAGCTGAAAACTGACAGTCAATAAGACACTTACCATTTACCAAAGACGCTTCACCGTCTATTTGTATTTGCTTACTTTTTATTTTTCAGTAAAAACGTAATACTTTATAAAAAGCTTGATATAGTTGCTTAGCCGTTAAAAATGTCCATTTTTTCGTGTTTTTCTGATAACCAATTTGCGACCAAACAATCGGTAATCTTTTCCATCATCATTAGCGAAGCCCGTGCTCCTTAAGCCATCATAAATATTTTGCCAGCCGCCACAAACAAAAGAGTGCGCTCGATTTTAAACAATTTTTCGGCTTCTCGCTTCTCAACAAACCGGGCATGCAAATCCGAAAATCCGATAACTGCAACAATAAAAGATATGTGTAAAGGGATAACAAAAATCGGTGCAACATGGCCGGTTGCAGTAGCACTATTGGCTTGGAACTGGTGGATGGTGGTAAGAGCTGATTGCTCCCGGCCTTGTGACCATACCAAACCCAGCCGAACCGATCTGTAGCTTTTTGTAATGCCTCAATTCAGTTACTGCGCTGCAGTTGCTGTCGCTTTTCGAGGGAAAGTGTCTCTGTTAGGGAACACTGAGAGAAATCCCCTCCAGGATGTGAACAGAGCTTACTGAAATATCTACTCATGCGTTGAATATATTCTTGACACACTTGTATATTTTATGTGATGTGATGGCAGCTTTATATAAAAGGAATTGTTAGTATCCGTGAGTTGTAAGTTATTAAAGTAGCACAAATTATTGCCAGATGGCTAGTACCATTGGTAGTGATTCTTTGCCAGTGCGCCTTTCGCCGCATTTCAGGACTCTAATTTAATTTTGTATACAAATCGAGGAGAACTCCCGCTCTTATTTCGTTATCGAGTTTTGTTTGTTAACGCTTAGCCCGGCGATTTTCGCGTTAGTTTCCCCACTTTTCGCCTTCGCGTTACATCGAAAACAATTTTGATCGCCGTTGCAGTGGCGTGGTGACAGAAATTTGCATTCAATGTCAATTTATGCAAATCGCATTGCCAGTCCTGGCGGCACTTGCGGATCCTTCCCCAGAAGACAAGACAAAACTGTGGCCAATTGTGGAGCTATATGCTAATTATACGGAATATTGCGACTAACCTCGATTTTTGGCGACGCGAACACGGCATGGCAAAATTTAATTCCGTTTGAATTTCTTTGCCCGGGAAACGACAGGAGTAAGTTGTGAGCGAAAAGCGATTGCAAAGGAGGAGAATCACGGAAAATATGAATGGCTCGACCGAATGGTCAGGTCAACCCGGGCTGAAGGATGGTGGCTGTTGGCTGGTGGTGATGGGGCTCTGCTCGGGACGTGGCCAGCAAAAGGAACAATAGAGCGTAAAATAAGTGCAAAGGCAGCGGGACGGCGTTTAGCGAAGAAAAGGAACTTGGCCAGCGCAAACGCGGAAAATCCAGCGAAATGAAAAATGAACAAAGTGCCCTAATGGCAGGGCACACGGCCGCTTGTACTCATTTCAAGAAGTACAAAAAACGCAAAAAAGGCACACAAAAAATCACACAAAAATTCACAAAAAATACGAGGAGGCCCGGAAGGGAGGAAGGCAAAAAATCAGCTTCAATTGAACAGTTAAACTTCCATTAATTGTGCGCCCGGTCAGCGCCACGTGGCCCAGACTCCTGCCGCTGCCCCAGCCAGTCCACTCCACTCCAATCCAATCCAATCGCAATCGCATTCGCATTCCACTGCCAACTGTGTCAGTTTCGAATTACAAATGCATGGACTGCTTGCCCAAACAGGTCAGTCTGCAAATTCGCGGTGAATTGTGCATTGGAAGTGGAAACGGCGCCTCGGGGCGAATCAATTAGATGATTGTATCATTAGGAACAAAAACAGGCGCCCAGGAAATTAACCAACATTTGGGCAGCTAATTGGCTGCCTAAATGGCTCAAGCTGCTCGTGTGGAAATCCATTGAGGGTCCTGCTCCGAGTCCAATGAACCGCACAGCGTAAAGTGTCGTCTTCCACACTTCATTGAAGGCTGTCAAAAAATTTTCAATTTACCAAATTAGTCCGGCAGATGTGTGGGCTCGAAGCGGAAGGATCCCACACACAGTACGAAAAGTTCTACTAAAAGCATGTACAAATATATATGCCTTTCAGTTTTCAACTCAATATTTTTTTAATAATTTAGAAGGCAATATAAAGAACAGAGCTTTTCATTTTTCAGAACCAATTAGCTTTCTTACAATAACGAAACCCCTATAACTATAGGTTCAATCGTTAAACAACTTAATGCTACTTTTGTTGCCTAATTGTTGCATTGCCTTCGATCTCACACAGATTTTGAGCAGTGCAGAGGCAGGAAAGGAAATTAGTATTAAGTGAAATGTAATGATGACAACGCCAACTGAAAATCGCCAGCTGACAATAATGAGCTGCCCGGCACAAAAGATACCGCTTTCCTTAAGCTCCTTTCGACAATTACAGCGATGGGGGCTGATACGGAAAACCATCGGCGCAGTAAAGCTCATTTTTCCAGGCGAACTTTTCACTCAGGCGGCGGAGAAAAATGGAAACCAATACGCATAAATAATAAAAAGAGCATTATGGGGGTGAGGGCGCGAGTGAAAACATAAATCATTGACTCTGAAATGAAAAGCTTTGCGCAACAAGTCGTCGAAACAATAAAAAACCAAACCCCATCCAAAATCCAGCGCGGTAACCCCACTCTGTGGGTTCAAAGGTGCCGGCGAACATTTGACCGACAGGAATGAAATATATGTTAAATTGAAAAAATATTAGAATTAATGGCTGTGGAAATGTAATGCCGGCGGAAGAAAAACTCGCAGCAGCAGAAATATGAGCCGAATACCTTAAATGGAATTTTATTTCGATGTTTCAATGTAATAACCGCAGGAATAGTCTTTAAAGTGCAGTTTACTTCTACTTTAAGGGCAGGCAAAATTTGGTGCAAAAGCTATCAACTGGAAACAATGAATACTTTAAGCTGATGAAACTAGCTGATTGCAACTAATCGAGCTGGGTAACTTCAAGTTAAAGCACTTAAATGTTGCTTGCAACAAATAAAATGTGGAATAAAATGTGTTTAATTGTCCTGCTGACAGACACTGTTTTTTGCTTGTATGTATATCTATTCAGTGTAATAATCCGCACGCTCAATTAAAGCTTTTTCAAGAAGCACGTCAATTAGCGTCGAATTATTTGTTTTTACAGGTTTATGAAGTTTTTGCCGGGGCGCAAACAACTCTTGACTTTCTGTCTGATGCAAAGTGATTGATGCCCAATAAGATATTAAACCGGGCGATTTTTTGCTACTCCGGAGCCGAACTAATGACTCTCCAAGCCCCTGACCGGCTTAAACATTTATTTAAATGCTTTTCCAGCTCTTGGCCTCTCTTGACAGCGAATTGAAAGCAAAAAGCGCAAAACAGCAGCTCGCATGTAAATGCCGCAATGTAACACGCTTGTCGGCGTCAACGAGCAGACGAAGTTTACGCATAATTTTATTTACACACGGTCGCAGGCACACAAGCGTACACTCCTTCACAATGCGTGTAAATTATGTCAAAAGCGAGCGCATGTGTGTGTGTCGTCCTTTGTGCGGCCCGTTTTTTGCAGCACACTTTTCAGCGCATTGAGCGTTTCCCTTTTGGCAGTCGGCAAATAATTGAAAGCTCAGCTTGCATGCACAACTCACCTACGTTTATTACTCGACAGCTATTGAAAACTAGCAGAAACTAAGCTACCACATAAATAGAGCGGGGTCGGCAACGGGTGATCCGCGGAGCGAGCTCGGCCAGGTGTTCACGGCAAGAAGTAGTGCTGCAAGAGAGGATTTAAAATTGGGTCTCAATCTCAAATCTCGGATTTCGGCCGCACCTTGGGATCGGCCTTCTTCCAGCACTGGTGGAACCACCAGGCCTTGTGGCACAGCGTGTCGCCTTCCGGATGGACGCAGCCCTTGGACATCTCCACCAGCTTGTCGCGCAAGGAGAGCGGGACGGTGGCGAAGAGCTTCTCCAGGTGCACGTCCCCCTTGTCGTCCACCACTTCGATCTCGTGGAAGAAGCAGTTCATGTAGCACTTGAGCTTCTCGTCTTCGTGGATCTCCCCATCGCTGAACTCCTTGATGGCAGCTGAATGGAAAGTTTAAAAGAAAGGTACAAATGCCTATGGATAATCAAGCAATAACTTTGAAGTGATTCAATTCTTGCGACTTTTAAATACCCAGCACTTAGTGCAGGATGAAGGCCATGCAATTATGGGCTCACTTTCGGGGCAGGACCATTGCCATTCGCTACTCACCCTCGGAGACGCCCGTCTTCTCCACACACGCGTCGTGGAAGGGCTTGGCCATTTTGAGGATGCCCGGCGGTGGATACTGCAATTAAAAATTGTTGCTTAAGTGGGCGTGGCAGGGCGGAGGCGCAGCAGAGCGGCCGGGCACTTCATTAACCCACGTTCTCGTCACGCTGCGCCGCAGCCGGCGGCAGGATCAGCGCTCCGCTGAGCAGCGACAAGGCGATTAAAAGGACAGACGCACTGACACGCCGACCAAAGCCATTCAAAGCCATTTTAATGTGGCTCTTTCCGTTTCGCTCCTTTCCGCTGCTGCGTGGTCCTTCCTGGTCCGTCCGTGAAACAGCAAAAATTGTGCCCGGCTCGGCCTTGTTTGCGAGCTCTGAATAAAACAAAAACAAGCACTGTAAAAAAATAAACGAGAAACGAGAAACGTGGAACGTGAAACAAAAGCGGCGATGCAAAGGGAGGAGGGGTAGCGGCGGAAGGACAAGAATGAGAAACAGAGTAAGGATGAGGATGAGGATGCAGTTGCTGTTGACGACGATGTGCCACGCGTGACAGCTGGACAATGACAATGGGTGTGGCTTTATGTGGGTACACTGGGAGGAAAGCCCATTAAAATACCACAAATCTCCACAAATATTTTCATTTATAGGAGCGGCTTGAGAAATGGGAAGAACAATAACGTTTTCAAGGAAAATGCATATTTATAATTTGTTAACTCATTTTGAAGAGTATTCTACAAAATACAATTTGTTTCCTTTGATGTTTAGTTAGAGTGTAAGAGCGTGCTTTCCTAAGCCATGGAGTGCTTCCTTTTCTGAACCTGTATCCTTGTATCCTTGTACTTTTGTACTTTTTGTATTTTGTGTTTTCGGAAGCCAGGAAAACCTAAACCTAAAAATATCATTTGTTTCTCGCCAGCTCAGCGCACGCCAAATTAATTCCAACCGCTGATGGCCGAACAAAAAGCGACCGCCAAAACGGAAACGGAACTGTGCCCGAGACGTCAGCGAGTCGTCACAAGTCTACAATTGTCGTGTTCCGTCTGCCAAACACATGGCCACGTGGATGCCCCCGACCGCTCCTTGCAATCCCTCGTCCAGGTCGCCGGTGATATATTGCCTAGCTAAGGATTCCAGGATTCGGGGATTGCTTATGATGTATGAGGAGGCAACTGGCATTTTTCACAAGCCAAGTGAGATTCACTTTTAATATAAAAAGAACTCAACGGGTTTCTTAATAAAAGTTAAAGGCTCCAATGCAACATGTACTTTTTCATTAGGAATATGAAAATGTAATAGAGAACATAGAAAACTTTGTACAAAAATGCATATGCAGATGAATACAGCACTGATTAATTTTAAAATGAATATAAACGTATTTCACACAGATCGGAGGGAGCCGTAAAATCCGAATAAGGATGAAGCGAATATTGAAATATTTCCAGGTCAACCGTGTGATAAATATTCGATTTTCCAACGATTTTATTCAAGTTATTGTTTTTTTCAAAATAATACACAAAATTATACAAATTATTTTCGAGATTACACTGGTGGTTAGAAGCAATTATTGGAAGTAGTGGATTCCACATTCACAACACCGATCCTCCCACTTTTGCGCCGGATGCCGCGGTATCAAAATATAAAATTTCCCATTCGCTTGCTTCTTTTGAAATTGTACAACCGAAAAACACAAAACAAAGACTTCAACTTGTGCACAACTGTCACTTTTGTTTCATCAAATGTCAACGCAACAACCGAAACAAAGCCACAAAACGACATTCGCCCCTCGACTCGCACACACTCGCACACACTCGCACACACTCGCACGCACACACTCGCACAAAAATGGAGGACGAATGAAATTACAGCAACAGCACATATTTGTAGTATGAATGGAGGTTTGTGCGACTGCGAGTATCGCAGTTGTGTGCGGCAGGAACGATGGATGGTTTTTTAATTGCCATTTCAATTTTCGTGTTGCAACGCGTCGTTTGCCTATGCCTGGGCAACCTTCGACCTCCCATTGCCTTCGTCCTGGCCACCTGGCCACCCCTGGCAGGTCCTTTTCCGTTCAGGAAGTGGCAGCTGGTCCTTTGCCCTACCGTTCGCTTTTAGCAGAAGTAGTTATGGCCAGAACTCGATACTGCACACACCCGACACGCAAGAATTGTTTGACAACCGCAGTCACAATTGAATTTGCTTTATTGCCGTTTGCAGCGCTTGGCTTTATATTGATTTTGGCCAAGTTCACAAGACCACAGCTGACTGCCACACTCAGTTATCGGGCCAATTGACGCTTCATGCCGAGCCGAATGTCTCTGTAATGGCATCGCCCATATAAGTGCAGGTCGCCACTCGGGGCTACGCCCACTGGCGTGTCTCTAATCATTAGGCGGAAAATTCCAGAGTACACTCGGAATGCTAGAGGCCAGCAAGTTGCAGTTCAAATGGGTCGCAAGGAGGTCCTATCGCTTACAATTCTTCCAAATACAAAATGCATGTAAAATTTTTTTTAATTTTTATCAGTAATTATAAATGATGCAGTGCCTCTATCACAAACTTCTGCGAGTGTAAAATGCTTAGTGGGTCAGCCATTGCAGGCTAAATCAACTTCCGGGGCAGACGAAGCGAAAGAAATGCAAAACGGAAAGTTCCTGGCTGCAAAAGTAATCAAGGTAAAGCAATCCCCCAATGGCCAGTTGGGCTTTTGTTGTCAATCCGGGCTAGACGGACAGATTCGGTAAGTAGCTCTATATCGGAGTGTCCTTTCTGGGTGGAAATCCACTCGAACTTCTACGAATACGCCAGATTCTGCCTTGTCTAAACAACCAACAGGTAAATCAAGTTGCAGGGACGTTGGTGAAGTGCAGGGCGACTGAGCCAATTTACTGCTCAAGCTTACTTACAAATTTAGTTGGTCTTTAATCGATTGCATGGAAGGAGCTGAAATAACTCAATATATTGTGCTGCACAAAAATAATTCCTACGACAGCTGCATTATGGTCATATGCATTTATTTTGCAAGTCCTTATACCATTTATTATTCAACAAGCGATTACATGGGTCTTGGGTTACAAGCATTGAAAATATCCGTCTTAAAATGTCTTAAAAAGCACGTTTAGACTAAAAAGTAGTGCACGGGATCGGCCTTCTTCCAGCACTGGTGAAACCACCAGGCCTTGTGGCACAGAGTGTCGCCCTCGGGATGCGTGCATCCTTTGGAAGCCTCCATCAGAAGGTTCCTCAGCTTCTCTCCCGGAATGGCGTTGAAGAGCTTCTCCATGTGGACATCCCCATTGTCGTCGACCACTTCGAACTCGTGGAAGAGGCAGTTCATATAGCACTTTAGGGCCTCGTCCTCGTGTATTTGCCCATCGCTGAACTCCTTGATGGCCTCTGCAAATTAATTTGATTTTTAACAGTTTAGCCTTTTGAGCCCCGCGTCCTAGAAGTGAAAACTTACCGTCAGTAACGCCGGTTTTGGGAGCACAAATGTCATGGAAGTGCTTTGCCAGCTTGAGAGTCGCGGGGGGAGGCCACTGGAAAAAATTGCGAAAATTAGAAACCACAATAGAAAACTCACGTTCCAGCCGGGAAAACCTCTCCATCGCGTCTTGGTTCCTGGGCAGCTGCACAGCCAAGCGTAAATAGTATCAGTGGCAGGTATTTGGCCATTTTGAAACTACAATGAACGCCGGAGGGCTGGCAGGGCCCTTTTATGAGATTACCGGGGCTCCATTTCAATATTCAACGCCGTGATGACTGTCATTAGAAAACGCACACTAATTGCTGGCTGCCATTTGCAGTCGAATCGCATTGCGAATCCATTTGGCAGCACGCAAAGCAAATGAATAAATGACAGCCGAACAGAGCGGCAATTGATAGCCAGCTGCCAAATGGAGAACCAAAAACTAGAAACACACAAATTAAGCCATGATTGTATGTGTCCGGACCTGCAATTTTTGAGTGTCATCCCCAACACTCCCAACTGGTTTATTGCGATCCGAGCCCTGGACTCGAAGTACTTTATTTTTGTGGGCGTGGCAGCACGCACCCATTACGATTGCTCTGTGTGGGCGAAAACATGTCATAAAAGCCAAATATCGCTCTTCCAAAAAACGTATGTCAGATTCAATTCCAATTTGCGCTTCTTTTGACACGCCGACATCCACAAGTTCGCGTAGACAATGGGATATATTTGAAATACCGAACGTAACTCAATTGCCGCGAAGTCGAGCTTTGAAAGGTGGCATCAATCAAAGATGCGCCGGGAAATATATTACCATTTTTCAATCACATCTGGCTGAGGTTGTAAACTAAAAGTGAGTGGATATTGCTTTGGTAATAAATATATGCGGTTTATTTTAAGCAATTGGCAAGCCCACAATCTGCAGTCCCTGCTCTTTTTGATTTGCAAATAAATATTGCTTTGTACTAAAGGAACACTTGCATTTTTTTGACAAGCTAAAAGCTGCTTGTTAATTTCAGTCAAATATATTAATTGCTGATGCTAGGCTCTATTATGTGAATTTGTATGTACACATTTAGATACGGATACATCTTAAATTTGTGTCAAATATACCAATAGAAATTGGCAAGACAATAATAAAGGGCACAAAATCAAAACATTTTTAAGCCCGTTACTCGTAGAGTGCTAGATTACTTGAACATATGTATATGAAATACTCAGGAATGGCTAAGATATCGGGATATAGTATTTAGCATTAGTTAGTCGGCCAAAGGCTAATAATGTCAATCCTTTTGAATTACTTAGTTATCTGTTTAACGAACATTAAGACAAGATCAAGTGAAAGAGGTGAATGGCATTGGAAATGTGAAAGTACAAACCTAATTGGTAGATTTGTATGAGTTATATGAGTTCCTGCTGGCTGTTCACTAATGGCAATCATATTCCAGAGCCGAGCACTTCAATCATCCATGAAATCAAAGCAATTTCTATGCGCAGCTCTCAATCAGCAATGCAAGCGCATCCGCGGAACTCGTGACCCGATGCAACTGCAATTGCAGTGGCAACAGCAACAGCAACAGCAAGAGCAACTGCAACTGCAACAGCCGCAGCAGCGTCAACTGCAGCAGCAACATCTAAAGCAGCACCAGCTGCTGCGCCATGGGATGGAATGGGCAATATAATTATGAGGACGCAGCTCGCTTGCAGCGGCTGTCAGCCACATATTAATTTTATTATGACGCCATTAATGCTTGTCGATGCATAAAATTATAGATGCGCTCTTTAGATAGCGCTAATTAAATAATTAAATATGCTTTGGGTCATTGCCAGTCGGTCGATTTATGAGCGCCATCGATCAGGCGCGACAATTATGCAATTCCAGATGGCAGCAGCTGGATAAAATGTATTTAACATTTTCGCTTGTTTTATTCATTACTGCCCTTCCTTCCAAGTACCTTGCCTGGCTGGATCCCATTTGGAAAACGTTGTAATAGAGCACAAATCCTAAATAAGCCCCAGCTTTGTATCGCCTTCCTCGAAAAATAATGCAACAAAGTAGTTCGTCATCCGCTTTTTGGTAACTGCAGCAGCAATGGTTCACCTCGCTCTTAGGTTATGAAAGCTGAAAACATCTTTTGTACATCTCTTATCCAGATAGTAATGCACCGAAGGAGATGACGGGCAAAAAGTTTACTTTTTTGCGGAAAGGTCAAAGCTTAAATTGATATAATATATAAATATACTCATATTATTTGCATATGCAGCCGCAACCTCAAACTTAAATTGATATATAGTTTTGTTTAATTTAAAAGTCGTGTTTTCTCGCAGTGCCCAAGCATGGAGTTAAAAATTCCCCCCTTTGACCTTTCATTTGTCCTTTAAATATGCTTAGCTGGCATGGTGACGAATCACCTTACATCTAAAGCCCCCCGTTTTGGCCGGGAAAAGCACCTGCTGCTGCTCTCTTATTTTGCTTAGTGCATATCAACTGAGTTGCTCAGACACTTGGCAAACTAAATTCAAAAATAGGAAAATTGCGCAAGTGCACTGCGATTGCCTGAGCAGATGTCAAGCTCATATTTTAATCCAACGAAGCTGGCTTGTTACCCAATTCCGGAGCAGCAAAAATGCCAAAATGCCAAAATTAAGTTTGACAGAACCTGCGGACACACGTGACTGCGATGGGAACCCGTGAGCCAAAAGCTTAAGTAGCTGTAAGCCGGCTATCGATGCACGTGAGTGGCAGGGATGTCGGCGACTTAGTGGCTCAGTGGCCATCACGTGCCGAGCCAAATTGAAAGACTTATGACCGCTGAGCCCGCTTAGCCCGCTCAACCCGCTCAACCCGCTCAACCCGCCGCTGCCAAGCGGCTTTCATAACGGGAACCGCTAACATTAACCTCCGCCTTCGGCAATCAAATTCCGCTCTCCAAGGCGCGAAAAGGCATAACGCGATAAATGGCAGCCGGAGTAATCATACGCCGCGTTGGCCCCAGTCCAATGTGGCCAAGACCACAGTTAGGGAAATTCCACAAGGCTTCTACAAGGGCAAATGCAGTTTTTGAATGACTCGCACACTTGTTTTGCAGTTTTGATTAAACAATTTAGAGTGGATTGTTGCAAACAAATAACACAAGCATTTGTTGTAATACTATTATTGACATAATGGGAATAAAATGAGCATTCTTCAGTAGCCCGGTTTGGCTCAGTGCAGTGCATGGAAATGGCCACCGCCATGAAACAAACGGCGGACTGCGGCAACAAGTTAATTGCAATAACAGCAAAACACACAGCGCCATTAAAAATAATGCGAGCTAAAACATAGCCCTTCTGCCCCTCCGCACTCCACCGCCTTGAGCACCATCATTTGTCGCACACGAAACGCGTTAATTATGGCCATTGCAGTTTTCCCCACTTTTCCAACCCCACCGGGTCCCAGTTTCCCGCCCACAGCATTCATTAATTACTATGCAAGCTAAGCGCCCGGCAAAAGTTCGGGACAGGACCTATCGCATACTTTGACATGCAAGCGCAAAGTGTCAAATTAATTTTTAATCGCCGCCGCCCGAATGTTGCCAAATAATAGATTTAGATGGCTGGTGCGTTGTAATTAAAGTTTTCGGCATCTGGCGCCGCAGTTAAAGGAGGAGTGGCCAACTCCAGGGGTCACCCAGCTCGGGCTGGCATGTGTGGGCGTCCTTCCATTTTCATTATGCACTGTTTGACTTGGCTCAGTCGCCGCTGTCATCGGCAGCCTGGCCGGCAGCTCCGGGCCATAATAATGCACTTTAATGCGGCAACAGCCATCTATTGACATTTGACACTTGCAAATTAAACGCTCGAAGGCCCAGTTGTCCTGGCTCCGCAATTTATTGACACCTTATTTGGCAACGCACACACTCGCAAATGGCACAACTCGTTTGCGGTTTGCACTTGCAATTTACATGTGTAATTTTTTGGACCGTTCCGGGCTGGAAAAGTTGCCGCTCCTCGTCAGTGGTTGGGACCGCAGGACTAGGATCCCACTGACAGCTGGACGACAACTTCGTTAAGCGAACTGCAGTCCGATAGAAAATTACACTGCGGAAGCAAATGCAAATGGGAATTTCCCCTCGAAATCGAAAATGGCAACAGTAATTGGCTAGGCAATAAAATGAGATCTTATTATAGCCCGCATTATTTTATTTTTATTCAACTCAATCTACTGCTAATGACTGCAAAGCGGAACAATGGGACAATCAAAAAGTAATTTGTTGGCTTCATTTGCTTTGATGCCAGCCTTAAAATACAAACATCGTTTAAGGCAGCAAAACAAGCTACCAAATATTATTTATTATATATAGTGCATACTCAAAACAGTTTAAAGAGATGCCTTGAGTGTTTATGGGCAGTCAAGTTAAGCAGAAAATAATGAATTGCTTACCTGCTTTGGCATTTCTTTAAGTGCAGCGTTTGAGCAGTTAATGTGCGATACATAGACATGGCCCTTTTCCTGTTGGACATAATCGATTGGTGTTGGCGGGATTGTGGGAGCCCTGCTACGCATTTCATCAAAGGGCCATAAGGCTTTGGGCCACGAATGACATGGAAGGAGTAATGGAGGAGCACAGGGGCTGCATAACCAGCTCCAATGAATTATAATTAATGATTGCGGCTTGAGCGGCGGCTTAGCATTTGAAATTTATAGCGGGCTACTTGCAAACTGCTAGGGCCCAATAAATTTAAATTAGTACTAGGCAGGGCAGAGTACGCACAATAAATAACTGGACAAGGTCAGAGTCGGGCATTTGAATTTAGTGGCGAATTTAATATTTTTATTGCCACTCCCTATTGTCGAGATCATTATTAATGCCCCAGAAGGGGCGTCTGCAAAAATGCCACGCAGCTCAAAGGCGAACTCACAACTTGCATCATTAACATATTCACAGTCTATTAATTTGCCGAGAGCGTGTTGTAGTCGCCGTTGCAGCGCCACTGGCGTCTCAAGTCGTCATCAGCATAAACATAAACATCAACATCAACATCGCATCAACATCAGCCCATTCTCGTTGGCCAGTTGCCTCCCCGGGCACATAATTAGAAAGTTTTGCACTTAAATGCAAGTTGAGCATGCGGGCCACTCGAATGAAAGCATTAAGCCAAAGTGCAAGCCAAGCACACATTTGAAAACTGTGCTCTAATAGCCGGCTGGCAACGGCCAGGGGAAACGGAAATGGAAAAGCTACTGGCCCTG